TTTTCAACAACACAAGTTCACCCCTTAAGGACAAAAGAGAAGAAATGGAAAGTGCAAAGGCTCATAAATTGATGAAGGGATGAGGAAGAAAACACCTTTTTACCAAGCAAATCTATCCAAAAACTACGTAGAAGCTTTCGCTAGTTATTGACTATTTAGGTTTGATTTTAATGACGGTAAATATAGTCTCAAAACAAATACAAGAAGTTAACCCCAAAGATATATACCCAAACCTCATTCCTTAATGCAAATATAGAGATGCAATATTGTTCATTGGAAACAATGAAGATCTGAAAGACAAACTTCATAAAAAAAAAGAATGATCTGAACGACAAACTAACCTAGAAAAAACAGAAAGAGGCTGAATGAAGATTGACCTGAAACTAACAGTAAATCACAATGTCTTTTATTACCTCATCAAGGGGCTTTTCAAACTGAAGATTCACACTCTCAGCATGTGCACGCATGACAGGAACTCGTATACATGTGGCAGTCACTTTAACCTCCATGTCATTCTGTAGGATTGTGAAGCACTTAGTATACACTAACAGATTTGTATTCCACCTAGCTTTACCAGAGTTACATTCTTAGTTCTAATTCATATTAGGATTTTGGATAATTAGAACAATATTATTGTTTTAAGTTACCATCACTGACCTTTTTTTCTTTAGATGAATGATCACTCTGCCTTGAAATATTTTTATGATAATAATTCAATTGAAAGATAGAAATAGAACTAATAATTGAGTTAGAAATGAAAAAAAAAAAGATGCATCAAAGCAAATCAAAATAAAAGCACCTTGAATTTGATACTTACCCATATTTTTCTAGTCTCCTTGACCAATTTCATTTCCTCTTCATTGTATCCATTCTCGAGTACAGGAGCATTGTGCGAAAACAAATTGAAAGCATACTGCAGAAAATGAAAATACAATGGCAATCTAAGAAAGTTGATGGGATACCATAAACGCCACAGTAATATATGCCAACTGAACTTACCTGTTGCTTAAATATGCTACAAGTTGGGGGTTTTCCTTCCAGGACCTTCAAACCAAAAGAGGAAACCGAGTCAATTTCAAGGACATAACAAAGCAATAGATTTATCAATCTTACGAACTGATCCATCTATGAATAAGACATAATGAAATGGAGAAACCTCACGAGTTTGCTGCACAAGTTCTTCCATTGCAGCAGCACCAGCGCCACTTGCAGCTTGATAAGTACTAACGACCATTCGTGTTACCTGTAATACGCCAAAACAGAGTTGGAGCTCAAAAAACATAACATCTAAGCATATCAGATGCAGTCCTCTACGGCTAGTATTGGAGGAATGAACAACGAAATTTCATTACATTTATGAATTAACTGAATAAGAAATCTACACGCAAGATAATTTTTGGTCTTTGAAATAAATCATGAAATCTTAAGAGAGCTATTTTTGAACTAATTTCTGGAATTTCTTTTGAAATTCATACTTAGTTATCTTAACCTATCATCTCCATATTTTTATATTTTGTTACCTTGGCGCGGCGGTGAAGAGGAGTGGCAGCCACCAAGCAAATGATGGTAGAGCAATTAGGATTCGCAATCAAGGCGCCCTTGCCGGTGCCAATTTTGATCCCCTCCATGGCCTCCGGGTTCACCTCCGGAATCACGAGCGGCACGCCATCGACCATCCGAAACGCGGAGCTGTTGTCCACAACGATGGCTCCTTTCTCGACAGCGATGGGACCAAACTGCTTACTGATGGAGCCGCCAGCGCTGAACAGGGCGATGTCGACACCATCAAAGCTTTCGGGGGTAAGCTCCTCCACTACAAATTCGGTGCCCTCAAATGCGATGCGCCTTCCAGCGGAGCGTTTGGAGGCCAGCATTTTGATGGAACGGTAGGGAAAGTCCCGGTCCGATAGCACGGAGAGAAATTCTTGGCCGACGGCACCGGTGACGCCAACTACCGCGACAGATGGGCCCGATTCCTGGAGGGACATGCGAACTCTGGTGGTTTGAAGTCTGGAAATGGGTTTGGCGACGGGGAGTCTGGAGAGAAAGTGTGTTTGCAGGTGGCGGTGGTGTGTGAGGGCGGCCATTGTCGGTTATTGGGTGAAGAGACTGGGGGCTGTGGAAGTGAAGAGAAGAAGAGGGAGTTCGTGTGGGGAGGAAAGGGGTTGTGGCGGTGGCGGTGGCGGCTGAGAGTTCCTAGTTTGAAGTCGATAGTTTTTTTGCTGTCGAGGGATATCGTGTGCGGCCGTGCGTGACAGGGATCACCTTTTAACTATTTTCATATTTCTTAAAACTTTTACAATAAATAAAAAAATAAAACAAAATACCAAAAATTACCCTTATTATTCCAAAAAAAAAAAAACTATTTAAATATTTATAGAAACATAAATATATAAACTTTAACTTGAATATACCATTGAATTAAAATTTTGAAGAAAAAAAAAGAATTAAATTTATAGTATAATTTTAATCTAAATTTTTATTAATTTTATTTCATATTCTCGTTTCTATTTTATATAATTAAGACAACTTTATATTTGTTTTAGTGGGAGAAAATTCTCCAATTTTCTATAAGACAAATATAAAAGGGGCAGTCTGACTCACCTTTATATTTCTAAAACCATGTGCTCTGTTCTGTTTATTCAGATACAGACACTTAAAAGAGTAAGTTATGCAAAAGAGCAACTGTTGTTTTTTCATTCATTTCCTATGAACAGAGTAAAAGGAAAAAGAACATTAAAAGCAAACACCAATCCTTTTAACCGGATTATTTCCCCATCAATGAAGGACTCATTATGCCGCATACATATGAAAATGATTGTATAGATAATATATATATATATATATATATATATAAGAGCCAAGTGTTAGTATGTATATCAATCAACATTATTACTCAATCTCAGTTACTATTCATATAAGCATATAGTCTGGTTCTATGAGATTAGGTATTCAATCCGGCTACTGCAAATTCCGTTGTTTTGGAAGATTCAACCTTCCAACTGCTGCAATTCGGGTGACTGCTCATGTTCTGACATTAACCTTCAAATTCGGTCACAACAGCATCTTGAAGAGCTATGAGTTTTGCCCGGCCACCATACTCTTCCGGCAAGGTTTCCTCGCCAATTTCTTCTATAAATTCCTTCATTTCTTCTTCACTGGTGACAATCACAATCTGTCAAACAGTTTGATATCAGGACCAGTGACAGCATTTAAAACTTTATATAATGGAACATGTACATAGACAATAAGTAGTTACTCATGAATATATATATATATATATCTATATATATGGCCTTGTTGATTTGGCTTGACTACACAGATTTTGATAGCAGACAAACAAACCTTTTCTTGTGTTGCCTTCTCAAGAAATCGAGAAACCATCTTCCAAACACTAACAAAAAATCTTGGCATATGCAAAAGAAAGCATTTTGCTAGGCGTTCAGGATAGTAAGCCTGCATATATGTACAACAAAAAAAAAGCTAAAGCAAATCTAAATGCAGACACCAGCATTATACAGTTTCAAAACAACACCAACTGCATAACCATCATTGTTGCTTTTACACAACACAACTCAGAATCGCCTTTTCTTAAAGCAACTCATTAATTCCTTCAGTTACTGATGTAGCGTAAGGAGTAGAATCATAAAAGTAAATAATCATGAGAAGATGTCATTGGTGAAATGTGCATTCTTGGAGAGAAACAGTGTTAGATATAGTCTTTACACAAGTAAAACAAGAATTCGTCTGAGTGGTATTTTTTCACAACTTACATACCTCCTAAACCTAGGGTATCCTTTGATGAACTAAAACTACAATGTTCCATCTACTCAACCCTACAATATTCCATAAGCTAAAAGAAGTAGATGCAAGATATGATGCCAAATTTCTATATGGTTCAGCTTCCCTTAATCTTTTCAAAATCTTATCTACCAAGGAAACATGTATTTTCCATTGCCAAGCTGCTCTGCATGGGCTTGAGTGTTTGTAAACTCAATGCACACGAGTTAAGAGAGTGTTCAAATTGAGTTTCTCTTTGGTCAACCAGGCTTAAAATTGATATAGAGCAAAAATAATAAGCTAGAGTTTGCTTAGTTTCTAAATTACTTAAGATTACGTATATTTAAGTCAAGATTAAAAAAGTTAAGTAGACAAACTTTTTATTTTTGGCTTTGTGCTGGTACGATTTATAGCCTTTTTTTTTACTTTTCTTTTTTGCAAGAATACCCTCAATATTTTAACGTATTCCAGCACTAAGATACATTAGAACTCATTTACCAAATTAAATTGTATCAACAGCAGGTTTGATTAGCACTTACAAGTTCAAAAAAGGATGTAGAACTAGTGAGTTTCAATTACTTTGGGAAGTAAATAGCCTCATTTCCAACATGAAGGCTTGGACAAAAGTTAGAAGTCACCAACATGGCTTTTCCTTCTGCCATTCTTAGCCACAAATTTTGCTTTTTGATGTGTAAATGTGAAAACTTAAGTTTCTGCACTGACCACAACAATATCAACGGTCTACAACAGTAAGTGCCAAGATAAAAGATTTCCATGGTGCATTTTTGCTTTGTATACATTATTGAGTGGTTAAATGTCACATATTTCCTGTCTTTTCTGTTAACAAATATACTAATTCTCCTAGCCACCCAACTAGTCTGATTCATTTTGCATTCAATTTCTAGCTAATTTCCAATTCTTAATTTTTTAGGGAAAATTAAACCATTGAACAGAATCAAGTGGTTGCCATCCAACACCAAATATACAGAATCTACGCATCTCAAGGATAGAAGAGGATTAAAATATCCAGAATATCAACCCCAATTTGAATAAGGTGACCTTCAACAAAAATATAAAGAGTCCTCAACCAATGATCCCTAATGCTAGCAAGAGAGGAGGAAGAATTCCCAAAAGCTTTCTGATTTCTCTGCCTTCATATGACCCAAAAATAGACAGGGAATGATTGAGGTGATCTTCTATCTGGACATGGAAGCCCCAATAACATTCTCTCATGCCCAAGGTTCACCTTTGAAATTCCTACTTCTGATTTTTTTATTAGTTTAATATTCATGATCGTTTGAATTTGAGTTACCTTAATTCAAGAAATTCAAGATAGGGGGAGATAACTCAAAGACAATAAATCATATTCTAATTAGAATTAGAGATTAGCCAGTAGTTAATGGAAAATGAAGCAAACAATACCATATATGTATTCTCACAAAGAAAAATTGCAGAATAAAGTTTTACCTGTAAAAATTGAAACCCAGTAATTAATCCACGTGCATCAATGTTCTTATATGTTATATGCTGCAGATCAAGAATGCCAATCAATTTTTCATTTCCTATTTCTCTTCCTTTAAAGGAGCTGAAATAGGCAACAACAAACACCTCATTTAAGATGAACCCGTATCTCTTTACCATAAAGCATACCTAGACAAAATAAGTAGGCAGATGTCAAGAAGATCCCAGTTTATTAAGATCACTGGATCATCTCTTGGATTATTCACCAAGAATGTAAAACTTTTCAAAGCAATCCATCTAGTTTTCCAATATGACCCTCTAGTTTGCGAAGGAAAATTTTTGGCTCCTGATCCCTCCCTACCTTTTCAAACACTATATCTCTGAGCCTGCAACTGCATTCAAGCAGATGTTCATTCATTCGTAAGATTCTGAAGCATTACCTGGTCATTTTCCTCTTCCAGTAAATTCCAAGGCCCCTCTTTTGCCTTTTCATTTCTTTGATACATAAGTTAAGCTTCAAAATTTTTTTGGATATCCCATCCTCATCATTCAAAGATTACAATCACCATTATATTGATTTGACATAGATACAAGATATGGAGTCACTCAGAAGGTGCAAATAGTTGACAAGGGTCATTGCCAGGGCAGAATTAAAGACTTCGAAATTGTTTTGGTTAACCTATTGGGCTTTTGCTTACGTTTCTTTTCTTTTATCTTTCAGTCATAAATTATGCCCTTCACATCAAACTTCGGTCATTTCTGATTTTTTGGGCTACTTCGAGGCTCTTTTTGATACTGGCCTTTTGCAACTTATCCACTGGAGTTATGCAAGCTATGTAACAGAATGGATTTATCATTTTTTAGTACATACATGTAAAGCAAGGAACATTTATAATAATATAAAGTAGATATTTTTAGGTTTTTGTCAATGTATTAGCAGTACACATTTTACTGGTGAATCATATCTCCAAATGGTCCATAATCTCAAACAAGAGTTTTGGTAAGTTGTAGTGTACAATTGTCAAATATTAGTGAGAATGAAGTATACCTTGCAAGTGTTTTGTCCAGCAGATGAACCACAAATTCTGCACCAATCGACAAACAAAATGAATAAGAATTTCATCTGCTAATTTCATCGACAAACAAAGTGTTGAATTGGAATATGAAAACGTGACTGAGTTTGTCCTAATTACTCTTCAGGATAGAGTAGAAAAAGTGAGGAGATTCTCGAAAAACAAGGAAAAGCCCTAATGCATTATAAAACCTCACTTTAGCCAATGATCCATCATGACATATAATCAGGAAGCCATTTCAACTGGAGTACATCAATCAAACTTAAATTTTGAACTACAGGTTTTTAGAAGTATAAACTCAATAATATCCATTTTTTCCCTCTCACGTTTCTCTCAAACTAATCAGGAAAAGAATTGGTTTCATAGCTGATATGTTCTTCCTTCACTTTTTTCTTCCCTTTCAGTTTTATCTCCTAACTTTATAGCCTAAACAATAACATACACCTAACTTAGATTAACAGAAAACTTCTTGTTTTTTTTTTTTTGAAATAAAAATTATCAATTGTGTATTAGCAAGGTACCAAAAACGGGGGTACCGCCTATATACAAAAAATTTACAATAAAGTTAGTGAATTAATAACAGTTCCAAAATCCGCATCACTAATAATCCCATACCCTAACAATATAGTTCCAAAATAATACAACCACCTATCCTTTAACCTAGTCATGCTACTAGCCTCACTATCAAGCACTCTACTATATCTTTCTTTCTATAAGACCCAAAATACTGTCAAAGGGATCACATAGCTAACTATTCCAGAAAACTTCATGTGAGAATTAAAGTTCTTATTTTCGGCCTTTTGGTAATAAGGTAGCAGTACAAGACCCGATTTACCCTTAACTATTTAACATTAACCTCTTTTGCCTTCCCCCTCCACCAACTCACCAAAAATAAACCATCAGAAGTTTAAGCATTTTTCATTATGGAACTTTTTCCTGCCCTATCCAAACAAGTGCAACAACAAGTATGTTCTATGGAGGAGAAGCACTCCGACACTGCTGATTGTAACCTTACTATATTATATTTTCTAATCAGTGGCAGCATATTCCTAAAGTTTTCTAAAAAGGTCCCAACAGAACCAGCATACTTTTACAATTAAAAACCTACAAATAATAAAGAATTCATGGGAGCAATGAGTTCAAAGTACCTACCAAATTATTAGTCACCTAGCGGCAAACTCTATCTCATGACTCATTCATGTGAAGTGAATGTCAAAAGACATTATTGGTATGGCCCATAGATGAGGACAATGCATGTCAAAACGGCATCATTTAAACAATCAAACCGAATCCAATCAACGAAAACCCAAGTTTCCGCGAGAACGGTAAGCTATCAATTTGTACTTCCAGAAAAGAAAAAAGAAGATAGATCATGCAAGCAGAAGAGTTAGCTGATTACTCTTGAATTGGAGATGATCTTTTGCAGGAAAATGTCTGCTTGCTTTACAAATCACAATCGAGTATCCATCTCTTGATAAACCCTGCAGAAATATCTTTCTCCATTCCAATTCATCGGCTACTTCAGATTCTGGAATCAACCCATTTGGAACCATTGCAGATCTCCACTTGTGCCATTGAACAAACATCTTGGCTGCCTTTTCTGGGTCCATTGATCTTGCAATCAAGAACCTCATAAGTGTTGGATCCCCATATTCCTGCAACCAAGAGAACCAAAAACCACAGGGGAAAAAAAAGAAGTAAACTGAGACAAATGAATCAGGTAAACGAGTCATCGATTGCAAAGAAACGGCATAAAATAAAGCTGCCTTACCTCTGCGGAAGAACCAAGCTTCTGTACTGATTTCCTCATCTGGGTCAGGGCAACTTCCTTGTTTGTTTCCATGAGGAAGCTGCCTTGGAACTTACAAGGTCCAGAAAAGGTGATTTGGTTCAATTTTAGACCAGAGAAAAAGGGGGTTGAAAGCTTTAAAACTCCAAGAAGAATACAAGACTGAAGAGAGAGTATTTAAGTATTGACAAAGAGAATTAGAAGATGTGCCAAGAGGACAAAACTAATTTAAACTAAACCAAGAAAATTAATACACAGAGCTAATACCAAAATCAGAAAGATGGACAGAGACCTTAGAAATTAAAACTTAGAAACATCATTAATCAAATGGGTTGTTGGCCACGTACACGGACCCAATTGCATTGAAAGCAACTTCCTTTTCTCTCTCTCTCTCTTCACCAAAAAGGTAATTACCAAAGAAAATTCAACGTGATTCATGAACATAAACTAAATGATTGTTTTGAAATTTGCCCCCATGACCCATCATCACCTTTCTGTAAATTGCACTCTCATGCTTAATCTTTTCTAACTTCAATTTAATCACGTCAAAACTTTTCGGGATTTGCTAACTTATCTTCCTGTAAAGTTTGGTCAAGAAAAAAAGAAGCTTTAATTATAAGTTTGTGGTCAACTCATAGTCACATATATAATAGAAAAAGAAGTGAAGAACTGGATCTAAAAAAATAAATAAATAAATAGAAGATTCTTGCGAAACAGCTGGTAGCATTGATTACATGGTAAACAGAAAAAAATATAGTTAAATATTGTATGATAAGAAATTATATATGTTAGTTCGGTACATGTAGAATTAAACAGGAATGAATTTATCTTTTTCAAAAAAGAAATGAACAAATTTGTCATTCTAAATATTTAATAATAAAATAGTATATAGCTACTAAAATGTCTATGAACCCTTGGGTTGGATATGGAAGAGATATGGTGTTTGTAGAGCAACTTGGTTTATATAAGATTATCAATGAATGTATGCTATCTATTTAAGGATCTTACAAAAAGAAGTGCTTATAATTTTGTGTTTAAATATACTTTTATTTTTTTTATACAAAAATAATAATTAAATGAGTTAATAAAAACAATCAAACATAGATATTACATAATTTAAATTAAAAAAATATTAAATTTATTCTCACGGAGAATGTTCAGGAACTTAGGAGGGGATTACAATAAGGAGTAGCCTCCTATAAACCTATCATAAGCTAGGTTCGCCAAGTAATCATCACCTATATTATCTTTCTGATATGTTTGTTGTACCTTAACAATTCAGTCTTTCATAAACCAAATTTTAATTGTAAGTAAGAGATTGAAATTTGCATGCGTGACAACCATCTCGTTATTGATCATCTTGTTTAAAAGTTGAATAACGAGGGTACTATCCATTTTGTTCAAAAAAATTACTCTTTTTTTTAATAGATAAGACGTGGTGAAATTTGAACTCTAATTTTAATTAAATAATTTTGTATCTTAAAAATATATTTGAATTATTCAATGATAATTTAGTTTGCGTTAGATTATATATTAATCCGATTTATATTCATACTAAATTGAATTCTTTTGTGTTAGAAGTAAGTTATTTTAATAAAATATAATGATATTCTCTTTTAAATAAACATGTATACTAAACAAATCATGTTGATTATTTATACCAACTGAACTATTATATATATATATATATAATCTAGTAGCTAAGCAGCCTTAAATTAAACTCTTGATAACCAATAATTTTAATAAAAAAAAGATGTTCAATTAGTGTCAGCTACCTAGATGTTAACAATAAAAAAGAATTAGTACAGAAATTATACTGTTGAGTCCAACTCATAGCATACATCTGCCGAAGTACAAAGAGATTTGCTTGTGCAATATAAGCCGAAAATGTCAAGAATCATATGACCATGGGAAAGAGATGAATATTGAGAGTAGGGGTGACTAAATAATACTGCTCCAGATTCAAAAATTGGAATACAACTGGTTATTTAAACTGGATGAAATTGAATTAAATATTAATTATTTCAGTCTTCAATCCAATTATAAAAGGTGTAAATTCCTTTAATCCTCATTTGTTATTGGTTAGATCTGAAAATTCAAAAAATAAATTAATAACATATATACATACATCAAATATACATATACATAATATATATACATATATATAAGAGATGTATTTTACATTTATATGCATAACACTAGAGCGTATGCATGTGTGTGTGTGTACAAATAGTATGAGATTCGAATTTTACTTAAAAGCGATGTTAAAATATGAAGAGCCGATGTTGTAAAGCCCACGAGAAAACACCCAAAATCAGCAACTTGAAGAGGAAACACAAGCACAACATGTTGAAGAAAAAAGTTGAGTCGTAAGTAGATTTGATTTAGCCTAAAGAGGAATGTAAATATTCGTGACCTACCCTAAAAAAAAGAGCCCATGTGGAAATTTTTTCCGATACTTTTGGAAGATGATTTAGTAAAATTATGGTGTATGAATATCATATAATTTAAGAAAACTTAGATATAAGTACCTAACTTCTATAAATTAATAAGCATCGAGAAAACAATAAAAATTTCTCTTTTTGAAAACTCTAACGGACTTTTTTTTTTGCCACTTACCTTTGTTACCTTTGTTGTTGGATTTTTCACTTCTTTTATATTTCTCTTAGAGATCTATTAATGGCTACACGAGAATCTCTTCCATAAACAAATTTT